AGGGGTGGATATTGTTAGGATACCCTTGGAAACAGCTCCCTCTTGAGGAGCTGTTCAGGGTTCCCAAAATTTATAAGATACATAAAATATGGCTATTCAAACGGAATTGCACTGAGAACTTCACTAGGTCCACTGAGCTTTATGTTCTCTTACTAATATTTTCAAAAAGTAAGAACGTAAGAATATCGTACTTGACCACAGACCAAAAAGTAAGACTTTGAAGAGCGAAAAGCAAAGGCACAATTTGGTAGAAATAGAAATATTTTGGTCAGGTGCACGATCACAGTAAAAAACCCTGTGTGGAGATAGCCATACCAGTACAAAGGTATACCAGTATACTAATATAAATTATTTCATTTCCTTATTCAAAATAAGCTATATTAATATAAGCACTACTAGAATAACTGCATGCAATATGTTTTGGTTTTGCTTTTTAGTTTTCGCTCCATAACCCATCTTGGCAAAGACATCAAGCTTCCTAAGGCTAACAAGCACAATGCCCTCCTGTGCTTATGCCAACCTAGGCCAATCAGGAATGGGTTTTTGCTAGTTTTGTAATGTTATCAGAAAATATACTCCTTGGGCTGCCTTTTTGCTGCGGTATGTCCTAGGAGTTATACCAGCAAAAGCCCTACTGCTGAGTTCCCTCTGTTTCCTTATTTGCCGTGCAGGGCACTCACTGCAGGACACTTTGCACTGTCTTCCTTCTCCTATCACAGAACTGTGAAACTTGGGCTAGAACGGACTGTGGATGAGGAACAAATCAGCAGACGTAGAGTTGATTTAGAGGTATCACAATCACTGTTACTGTTGTGCAGTAGTGATGAATTAGGCTGATTGACTGCATACGGAAGTGCCAAAAGTTCAAAGGAGATGATACCTTGTGCCATATACCAGCAGTCCTTCAAAGTTATGGTTACGGAATGAGAAACAAAGCTCTTCCTAGAAACGTCCGCTCACTTCAGCTTACACACAGGAAAACATTAGAACAGTTACGCCCGAGGACAAAAGGAACATTGGTACTAAGGTGGGTTTAAAAATTCTCCAAACGGAAAAGGGCAATTTCCATCATCTGTCAGCCAATGCAAAACAAAATCCTCTCGGCTAGAAACATAGCAACACTATTGCTTTCCAGCCCGAGTTTTACCATAACATGATAGTCTTTTGTTTTGGACTTGAATTTGTGAGCTAGAAGGTGAAATACTACATTTTAAGCGGTTTTTACTTTTGTCCTCCTTCCTCCGATTTCCTCTTCTTGACAAGCAGAGGATGAGCTGATCAGGAGTAACCGCATACACGGCGGCTGTTATTTGCCCCAGGACTGTAAACACAGCAGAGCAGCAGACACGGCCATCCAGCAAGCCTCTCCCG